TACTCCCCAACCCCTAACCAAATCTGCCAAGTGAATGTACAGAACCCTACAGTTAACCAAAATAAACATAAAACATCTATATAAAATCCAGTAAAAACTTCAGGAGAGACACTTGAGTAATACCATATGCTTATAAAATATATATAGCAGCCTAATTTCCAAAATGAGCAGTTTTTATATTCTGATATTTTAATGTTAATATTTTAATCATGTAAACAGATATGAAGTCTATTTCTTAATTATTCTTTTGTTTTCTTTTCCTTTCTTTTTATTTTCAGATTTTTATTACATGTTTGAAATATTTTCTGTATAAATTTTTTTCTGACAAATGTCTGATAGGGTAGTGGAACAGCTTAAGGAGCTCAAAAGAGAATCATCCATCGCAAGATTCCAAGATGAGTTAAATAATATCATTTTCTTTGGCTCTGTAACTCTTAGCTTTATTTCTCAGTATTGCCTAATACTGAGAAATAGCCTAGGTAGGGCTGACCCTGCCATCTATAGAAATTATTCTGATTTCTGTCACCATCTCTATGCATCCCTTGAACAACTGAAACATTTTTTATATCATTTGAACAGCATAAATCTTAAAACCAATTTCTTACTTTCTTTTGCCTGTTAGGAAGCTTGAAAACAAATTTGTGACCTGTTTGGTAGCTGTTTAGAATGTTCTGATGCATATTTTATATACAACATTTTAACTGTTATTTTAACCTATTTTTTATTATGTTTACTTATTTATACTCTGTTTCAAAGTATTAATTTTGGGAAAATCCGTTTGTTTTTCAATAAGAGGAGAATAAAGCATGCAAATAAATGGATAGATAGAATTTCTATGCCTTGTCTCTACTGTTTATTTTGCCAGGGAAGACTTTCTTCTTTCTGGCCACTTATCTACTTTCCCAAACCTTCCAGAGCCAGGTTTACATCATTTCTCCTCTATGAAACTCTCTATAAATTCCTAGCTTTCCCTATAAATTCTTAGATATTGTCTGTGGTTACAACAATACCAAGAATTGGCAAGAAGCAACTTCCCCTTTTTGTGGCAACGCATATTTTTCCACCTCTGAAATTGACCACCAAAAAATGTTGATGTGATGAAGAATTTTTTTTAAGATTTATTAGTAGTTTAAGGGAAGATAGGACTTGTCTGTGATTGCATTAAATGTCCATAAACAAAGAGGAAAATAAAGCATAGTGACCCTTCATCTCTCTCTGCTTCTCAAATCTCGTTTTCAAAGGAACTTATTTTGGGGGCACCTGGGTGGCTCAGTTGGTTAAGCATCTGCCTTTGGCTTAGGTCATGATCAAGTCCCACATCGGGCTCCCTGCTTGGCAGGGAGTCTGCTTCTCCCTCTGCCCACCCCACTCGGCTCCTTCTCTCTCTCTCTCTCAAATAAATAAAATCTAAAAAAAAGGGGGGGGGACTTATTTTTGAGAAGACAAAAGAATCACAGAGATGGAATGGTTTCAAGAGTTCAGTCAGTTCTCAAAAATGAATCATTTACCAAGGTCTGAAGTCACACAGCAAAGTTGACTGTGTTGCTTAACAGGTGTATATGAACAACTTTTGCATGTTTATATGACTTGCATTAAGATCAGTAGTTTACTTTTCAAAATACTTCTCTTTGGGGCTTTTTTAGTAGATAGGATTTTGTACTATCCTCTAAGTCACTTTTTTTTTTTTTTTTTTTTGTATACAATACACATCTTGCATTACAGTGACCAGGGGTAAAGAGAACAGGTTAATTGCCTGTCAATTAATTATAAAGGCATTTCTGAATGAACCTCCCAAAGTGTTTAATTATGGAGATGGTTAAAGATCTATCAACAAAGCAACAAAATTAGCCCTGGCAAATAAAACTATTTACACATACTTTTCCTGAGGAGAGATAAGAAGCTCAAGGGATCAAACTGAAGCTCAATACCCTCTTAAGGTTTTCATCCTAATCACACTTTCTTTGCAATCTTGTCAGTCACCCGTTTTTTTCTTCACTTATGTAGCAAGTATAATACCTTACAATAATAAGTCAAGTATGTGCTTGGTTAATCCTCCCCAAAAAAAACTGTGATACAAAAAAAAAAAAAAAAAGGTTGGCTTGCTGTCCTACTCAATTAGCTAAATTTGTTTAAACTCTTTCCAAAACTAGAAAATAGGCATACAATATAATAATTATAAGGTGTTTATACATGTACAATCATCAGATCATTACTTGTACTCTTTGTTTTATTTCTTTAAGGAAAGGAAACAGATGCAAAGACAGATCCAACCTTTTAAATGTATGGAAAAATTTTAATTGCATTATTAATAATAATGTTTAACAATCAAGTCATCTTGTAGGTATGTATCACCTTCTTTTCAAGATTTTATAGTGACTTTAATTGAAACTTAAAATGTTCCCTTTAAAACAATTTCGGTGCTGTAAAATATCATTTAAATCAAAGGGGATTAAACTGTGCTTTTCAGAACACTCAAAAGTCTATGAACAAACTCTAAGTTTCAAAGTGTTTGAGAATTGGTCTCTCCCCCAGCAGCAGGTTTTAAGTGAGTACCATGTTTTTAACCACCTTTATCTCATGTTCCATTCAAGTACATTGCTTGCTGTTTTATTTCTACTAAGGTAAAGATCCTATTTCCATTTAGAAAGACAAGAAAAAGAGGCCCTCAGCTCAGTTATGCTGCTTTCATTAACTATTTCTTACACATTATTTCGGAGTTTATCTCCTAATCTCATTGCCTACTCCAGGGATTCTCTGTCTGATATCTGGGGAAAATCCCCCAGCCATCTTCACGGGCACCTTTCCCTAACCCATTCAGGTCAGACTCACCTGGGATTTCATGCCTTGACATTTTCTGCAATTTTACTTGCTCCAAATGTGCTCAAATTTATCCTTAGATAATAAGGTCTCTTCAGCAGAACTTCTGGAAGTTCCAACTCCAAAACCCTTAATATGTAAATTTCAACTCCAAAATGTCTCAGGTCTTCAAGTGTTCCAACCTATCAATTAGAGCCAGTGGAAGCCTTCCTCCTGGAACATGGATACATTCAACAAGAGCTTCTTGCACTTCTCCTACTTAAAAATGCTGTTAAAGTTCTATAGGCTGGGAAGGAAGAGTCATAAACTGGTTAGTCCTCTTTGGGGCTTTAGAAAGATTTCAAGGCACTCACAGGCATGGTTTACGATGATGAATGCAGAGATACTTTTTCCACCACAGAAACTAAACATGCACACCAAACCGGTATGACAGGTTGGGGTATATATAGTACTGCTGCCCTCAGGCTGCAATTTAGAAGCACAGACACTAAGGCACCTTCCTCCCTAGATTTTTTTCTTCTTTTCATAGCCCAGCAGAATAAGTATAATTTCTTAAAAAAAAAAAAAAAAAAAAGGTTTTATCATGAGAAACATAATGCATTCAATGCATGTGTGTCTGGACTTTCAAGCTGACTCCTCTTGGCTGTGATGAAAGTCAAGTAAACGTCTTAAAAGTCAGTGTAACTTTTATGGAGTCAAGAAAAATCCCAAGCCTGGATGGACCAGTCCCATAATAGCCTGACTGAATACTGGACAATCCTTTCCAGGCCATAACTATAGAAACTAAAAGGTGTCAATATTGAAAGCATTCGTAAGCCTGATTTTCCCTTTTGAAATAGGAAATTAAATGCCTCCAGAATGTAATGTACCAAATTCCTTTATGAAATTACAGGCTCTGGGCAGCTAAGGTGGAGATCTGAGTTCTGGCAACTGCTTCTGAGAAACCAAGGGTAATTTTCTTACCTTCATAGGATCTGTTTGCTACTCTACAAAGTAAAAATATTGGACTTGAGGCTTTTTAAGCTCCCTCATACCTTGAAAATGTTAAGATTCTATAGAGTTTTTCTTCCCTAACTCTGACAGCCAAATTCTCCTTCAGTGGGCTGTTGAAAAGTCCTCTCTTCTCTGCTGACTGCTCTCTAGAACTGGCCTTGGATACCACAGGGTGTAGCCAACTCTTCTGTACTTTGAGACATTTTTCCCCCTGAGCTCTAGTCTTTTGTAGCCTGTAGAGAAGGGGTTTCCTAGATCTAGAAAACTAAGAACTGGAGTAGGAAGGGGAGGTATAATTAGAAGATACTCAAAAACACCTGAGCAGCTGTAAGTAGACGGCCTGAGTAGTGACATAGGTGTGTTGAGCAGTCCACGGGAGACCCCGACTCAAAGAAACCACTCTCAAGGTTGTCTCAGCATCGAACTCAGAGAACCTTTTATTGAAATCATTCCCAAGATGAATTTGTATACCATATCCTTTCCAAAGAGGCAGGTGGCTTTGGAAATGCTTTGACCAAGGAAGAAGAGGAGGAAAATAAAATGGGAAAGGCTCATGTGGACTGAGTTGCTGAGGTAGGAGGAGCTCAGTGGATGAGGGACATAACTGGATAGCGATACCTTCTTTCCCTTTCTTACAATCCCTGCTAGGGTCTGCTCTGCCTGTTACTAAGAATCTTGGAATAGAAAATGCATGTCCTTCCTGACAGGCAATACCGGTACGCCCAAGGGTAGCCTCTGGAAAAATCTTAACCTAAGGAATTTTCCAGGGAGCTGCTTGCCTGGAAGGAAGTTGCCACCCTCCTGTTGTTTCAGTCACGGCCTTTCACTGCTATCACAGACTGACCAGGTGCTACTCAGTGGTACATGTGAGTTTGCAGGGATTGTGCAAGGAAATGCCACTTCCTTTCCTTAGCAAATACAATGCTCAGAAAGCATTTGCCCCCATTCCTATTGCCATATTATTTATATTTTCAAAAATAAGAAAAAAGAAATCTAGCACTTTATCCTGTCCTAGATAATTCTATTTTATGAATCCTGAGACTATTATGAGTAGAGTTACTTGTCAGTAGGACTGAAAGGAAGAGATTGCTTTTTATGTTTGAAAAGATAATTGAGATCTGTTCCCGTGTAGCTGAAGATAACCTTGGAACAACTTCACTTTCATTTGGGAAAAAATAGGTTCCCAATACCATAGTTGCTGATAGCTTATAGGCTCCACTAACCAGGGTACTCTCAACCGGCTTCTTGGATATAAAACCTACAGGAAATAGCATTCTTTTGACAATGTCTACGGCTAGCCCTCTAAGCTGTGACCAGACATGGTCACAATCTAGACACATGGCGTTAGAAAACCACTATTCAAAGCACATGATAGAGTTCTAATGATAATCTGCTACACTTATTATCTTCATAACCAAAAAAAATTTTTTTATTTTATTTTATTTGAGAGAGAGAGAGAATGAGAGAGAGCACATGAGAGGGAGGAGGGTCAGAGGGAGAAACAGACTCACTGCCGAGCAGGGAGCCCGATGCGGGACTCGATCCCGGGACTCCAGGATCATGACCTGAGCCGAAGGCAGTCACTTAACCAACTGAGCCACCCAGGCGCCCCATAACCAAAAAATTTAAGTCATCATATGTTTAATGTATAAAACAAAGTATTTGAATACAGTCATTTCTGTTAGAGCATGCTTATTTGTAAGGTGAGCTGATAATAATTAGTATTATTTTAGAGAACTTCAGAATCTTTTTATAAATATTGCTAAGTCAAAAGCAAAATTAAACATTTCAAAATACCTTTTTCATTTATTTCAATAATTTTTAAACTCAATCTGAGATTTAGGACAGGGTATTGCACAGAAAACAAAATAATGTTAGAGCATTCCATAAATGAAGATTCCAGAAGATATCTGATTGGTTTTCTAAGATGTTAAATTTATCATATATCTTACCTCCACACACATAAAGCTGCAAATTATTCCCACGGTACTTTCCTTTATAATTAAAAAAAAATCCAGAAATAGTTTAAAGCCGACAACTGAAGTACCCTCACTTATCATTAGCTCTCTCCTGATTACTAAGTTCACTTAATAATTTTAAGGCAAATACAACTGGAATGAAAGCACTGCAATATTCCAAGAAGATGGATCTGAACTATTTGTAGACCCACCAAGGGTACATTTCAACTCAGATAGAAAAATACAGTCCTCATTGAAAAGTTTTCACAGAACTCACAAGGGAAAACCCCTTGAGATAGAGCTGAGCTCACAAGCATCCCTCAGCTACAGAAGGTTTATGGATATAGCACATGATTTTCTAACTCAAACCATAACATTCAAATTATTCACTATAGATCTTGTTTAAAACTTCATGCTTTTTTCTTCTATATACCAATTATTAATTCTGAAAGTAAGTGTATGTGTGTGGATATGCATGTATATATGTAGACAAAATAGAAAGTCTATACACATTCTAGGACTCTAAAATAAGAAGTAAATATTACCCATGATCCTGACACAAAGAGAGACGAGGCCTGGTTATTCCTCAGTTTATTATAACCTCTGAACACATACACTGGTGATGTGCCAGCATAGTCTACAACAGGCTATTCAGGTGGTTGCCAAATAATTATATATATTTTATACAAAATCATCATTATATGAACAATATTAACAACCTAAATGATTCCTATATACTTTTCCAAGGAAAGACATTATAGAAACAAATAAAGTATATGTTATATACATATTATTTTCTCCATAAAACACATATAAATGAATTTCATAGAATTAAGCTAAATAAGTCTTTTAACTTGTTTTTCTTCAATAGAATGCACTAAATGACTTTTTATTAATCTTTAAAAGTGCTTGATAATAGCATTTTATTTTTTTAAAGATTTTATTTATTTATTTGAGAGAGAGTGAGAGAGAGAGAAAGGGTGAGCACAAGCAGGAGGGGAGGAGCAAAGGGAGAGGGAGAAGCAGGCTTCCCACCGAGCAGGGAGCCTGATGTGGGGCTCGATCCCAGGACCCTGAAATCATGACCTGAGCCGAAGGCAGATGCTTAACCCACTGAGCCACTCAGGTGCCCTGATAATAGCATTTTATGCAGGATTTAACAAAATGTTTTTGGGAAATGTACAGAAATAAAATAAGATTCTGGGATTCTTAAGCAGGTTTAGTGAATTCTGGAAGATAATTTAACTTTAGAAAATGGACACTTTATGACCTGTCATGTCTATGATCATCTTAATGTTATTCTCATATATATTATATTTCACAGATGTAGTTACATGTTCAATTATATGCACCAAATAGAAAACTGGGTGGTCTGGGGATTTTTTTGGTGGTAGCATCACAAGAACATAATTAAATAAAAATGTCATTAGCAGTCGATTGAAAAATATCTTGATCAAAATGTCTCTTGTAAAGGTGACAAATAATTCATAAGATATTAGACTACTAGAAATCATAGCAACAAATAAGCATTATGTCAATTTTGTTTTTTTTTTTTTTAAAGAAGGAAGTTTTCTCACTCAAAAAAGTGAAATGTGTGAGCAACCTTATATTGTTTCTATCAACAAGCCTAACCGTACAAGCCTAGTCAAGCCAATGTCAACAAAGCCAATCCCTTCAAAGGACAAAGGTATCTGACTGATTAAGTAAGACCTGTAAAATAAACCCCCTCTCCCCAACTGCTTTGCTCTCCTCTGAGATCCTGTTTTCTACCTTTAAAAAAAAATGGTTATATTAATATATTAGTACAAGGACACTTAGCTGGTAAACCCCAAATATGGCAAAACTTGATGCCAAATAAAAATTCCATAAGTAGAGACAAAAACCAGTATTCTGTCAATGTTGGAAAAGATCTGCACTACAAGTTGGTCACACCATTTCTCCAGCATTACATTGGAGAGTAAAGATAAGGCTTTCCCCACTCTCCACCAAATTTGGGTTTCTGTGTTGGTTGAGTTCTTAAGCCCAAGAGACAGCTAGTTTCTTTTGAAACAAGAAAAACCCCCACCTCCTTTCCTCACCCTCAAAGCACACCTTGAACCTCCGCAGGGGCACATGCAGGTGCACGTGCATGCACTCACGCGCGCGCGCGCGCGCACACACACACACACACACACACACACACTCTGTAATAGAAACTGCTTAAATTTCTGATTGGAAACACTTTAGAGACTGTTGGTACTTACCTTGCAAAGATGTGTTAGGTAAACTTGCTTCATTCTCTCCCATCTTATTATTTCTTTTTAAAGGGGGCCAAGCAGTTTCAAGTTGTGTCAGTTACCTTGCAGGCTTTGTGACCTTCTGACTTCCTACCGTGGTACTGTAACAGTATACTACCTGCTCTCTTCTGTGAATCATTACCATTCTGCTTCCTGAATTACCTGGGCTGGCAGGACCTGTTTTGCTGTGAAATGAGATCACATCCTTTGATCCAACGTACTGCTATTAATGTGTGTTTCACAAAATGTGGCTTTGTTTCAGTTTTGATATTAACTTTTAATTCTCTACTTTCACTTTAGTCTAAAACGTATTTACATTTTCCCCGAGTGTCCATACTACCAACACACCACGGTGCAGAGCCAGAGTTTTTGTTTTTTAGTGTTCCCAATCAGCTTCTCTTATAGAAATAAAAATTTAAAGTGAATTTTGCAATGTTCATTAAAAAAAAAAAAAATGCAGAGACCTAAGGAACAGCACGGGAATCAGTTTTGTGCCATGCTGGAAAGACACTTTGGAGTGCCTCCAGTACTAGCTGTGGAACTGTAAGTGAGGGCTATTCCTTCTCTTGAGTCTTAGTTTCCTCAACTATGAAATGGGGATTATATCTATATTTCAGAAGGTTCTTATGAAGATTAAAGCAATCATGTATGTGCTAAACATTATGAATGGCAGATGATAAACACAACACAGGCAGCATTTTTCCTCCACCCCTCCTCTTCCTTTTCCATTCCTCTTCTTCCTTCTTTCCCTCCTCTTGTCCTTCCTCCCTCTGACAAGTGCAAAGAATGCCCAAGAAGAGCACTGATGTCACTATGTCCTGACGTCACTTGTCCTACATATTAATTGAGAGATCTTAGACAAATGATCCAATCCGATTTCAGAATGCCTTAAGGTCCTCATTTGTAAAAGGATACTAATATTTGCACTGTCTTTTTACTAGGAACATAACAAGTATTAATATAAACTATTGTGCTTCAAACAAAAATAATCTCTAGCAAAGAAAAGCAACAAATTGGAGATTTATCTTTATTCATTTGTAGAAGTGAGAGAGGAAGTAGATCACAAAAATAAATCAACTTATTTAAACTCTGTCTCCCATAAGATATCCAGAATAAAAAACAATCTCTATTTTCTCCCTCTAGAATTCCTTAAATTTTAGATTTGTTCAGACTGGTTAAAAAAAAAAAAAAATCTGAGGTTTAAACACCTTCTCCTTTAACGGTTCTTTAATTTTCAATTTGGAAGGAATCTGTATACCATGTTTGCTAGCTCATTAATGAAAAAAAAAATGGGGCACCTGGGTGGCTCAGTCGTTAAGCGTCTGCCTTCGGCTCAGGTCATGATCCCAGGGTCCTGGGATTGAGTCCCGCATCGGGCTCCCTGCTCCGCGGGAAGCCTGCTTCTCCCTCTGACCCTCCCCCTGCTTGTGTTCCCTCTCTCACTATGTCTCTCTCTGTCAATTAAATAAATAAAATCTTAAAAAAAGAAAAATGATTATATAAGTTACATAAACAGAAAAGGTAAATAACTAGAATAGTTATTCTCAAAAATATTAGAAATGAAAACAAATGGGACATAAAAAAAAAAAAATTCCCATCACTGGGGCACCTGGATGGCACAGTTAAGTGACCAACTCTTGGTTTCAGCTCAGGTCATGATCTCAGGGTCGTGAGATCAAGCTCTGAGTCAGGCTCTGCACTCAGCTCGGATTCTGCTTGAGTTTCTCTCTCCCTCTCCCTCTGCCCCTGCCCACTGCATGCACACACTCACACTCTCTCTCTCTCAAATAAATAAATAAATCTTTTTTAAAAAATCCTCATCACAGTTAATTTACAGTTCTCCCTTTCATTACGTCTCTGGGTCTCAATTTCTTCATCTATAAATTGATCTGGAACATTTACTCAGCCCCATTCTCTCATTACAAATACCAAAACCTCTGATTTAAAATCCAAGTTGTGGTTTGTTCCACAATAGTCTTTGCCTAGTACAATTGCATAATGTAACATACATACTGTGCTACATACTTTACCAAATGGAACCTGAAATTGAATGTTTGCCAATAAAACACTATAATCATCACATTTGGACTTCCCCCCCTAACAGGA